CAAGTGAATAAGAATGACTAGTGGTTACTAGTTGGGACTGTATTGGTGTGTTGAATACAACAAGTGAATAAGAATGACTAGTGGTTACTAGTTGGGGCTGTGTTGGTGTGTTAGATATAACAAATGAACAAGTAGTCTGACCACTTAATGGAGAACCACGTACCTGCTGATCGAAGGGAAAGTACCTGACATCTATTTTACATGAGCTGGTCAGGATTATGGGAGCAAGCCAGGAGTTTTTGCCATTACTTTCTACTTTGATCTTGGCTTTAAATCCATAGAGTGAGCCATCAAATGAAGCGTCGGCACTGAATAAATCAGTTTCATAATTAATGCCTTTGAATTAGTGCATTCGATTAAATAGCATGCGCTCTCTTGGTTTAAATATTTTTTAATGCAAACATATATTAGTTATACAACGGTTTTGAGTGGCATACCATGGAATATCCCATGAGTTACTTGTATTTTCTAGTAATAAAAAGTAATAATAATGATGACGATGATGACGATTATGACGATGGTGATGATGACGATGATGGTGATGATGATGATGGTGATGATGATGATGATGATGGTGGTGATGATGATGATGATGGTGATAATGATGACGACGACGATATTGATTATGATGAGGATAATATTTTTTTTAAAATAATCAATGTACTTACTTGTTGTAAAGGTAGATATCTGGCTTCCACAGTTCAGAAGGTTCAACATTAATCTGGTCGATTCCTCCGTACTCAGAGGAATTCCATTGAATGAAGTCATTAGCCCAAATCTGTCGAGAGATACAGGGAACAAATCTATAATCTGATAGATCAGGGGGTGCTAGGTTCGGTCAGGCTAGTGACCAAATGCCAATCTATTCGTAAAGTCCACATGTTTTGGGTTAGGAGAGGGGACGAAGGTGTTTTGAGTTTGGTGTTACCCATGGGTGTTCCCCAAACTTCTTTCTGAATTTCTCTGAGTTTCTTTCCTGGGAACGAAGAAACCAAAAACTAGCCGAGCAGGGAAACCTTGCAAGGGAAACCCTCTAGAGAGTTAAGTTTTTTATACCTGCCGGACGTTCAAGCTCAGTTGCAAGATTTGGAATTTCTCTATCTGTTAATAAAAGAGCGAAAATTTGAGGTTAACTGAAAGTTTCACATAAACTTCATCATGTTCATATGCATATCATTAACGAAACAGATCTTATGCTGAGGATGACACAACCTTGGTTACATTGCGCAAAGGCTTATCTACATTGCGCGCAACAGGACTTGGTTACTTTTCAAGAGGGCGCACAGGCTTGGCTACATTGCGCACACGCTTGGTTACATTGCGCACAACATGGCTTGGTTACATTTCAAGATGACGAAGTTGCCTGGTTACATTTCGCACAGGCTTGGTTACTGTTGACCGGGGCTTCGTCACGTTTCAAGATGGCGCCATAGCGGCAATTCCTCTCTACATACCACGTCCATAATTTGGTTGAGCGTCAATCCCAGAACCACTGTTACATTTTTGTGTTTATCTATGACAGGGCGCAGCTTTTTATCGTAGCTTTTCCCCAGTACATCTTCAAGTAGTCTGGCCTCATCTGTATCTATTACTGTCAAATAGCAGGATAGAAAATGGGTAAAAAGGTCAGTGTAACGATTAGGGATGGTTAATGTCACGGCACGAAATTGACCATATCTATTGAACAATCAAAGCGCGCGAGATCATCGTTCATCCAATCGAATAACTAAAGACATGACATGTTGCTATTTTATGTTTGGTTGTCACGCAAAGTAACGTAAGTAACATTTTATGATAACAAGTAACGCAATGTGATGTGTAGTGTCATGCAATATTCTGCTTACCTATTGGAGTCCTTGCAATAACAGTCATGATCCCAGTAAAGAATACAATATTCAATAGTAGATACATAGTTAATATTTTTTATATTCAATTTTCTTTGGCTTGTCCTCGTTTGCTGTTATCTGAAAAAGAAAAAGTTAAACAGTCAACAATCTCAGTAAATACACAAAAACATATTAAGAAACCCTTTAAAACTAACTCAATAACATCTCAGTTTTCGCAACAATATTCTGATCATTTCGATAGGAATTGTTTCAAGAGCGTCACAATGCTGATAAGGATGCTTTGTAAATCCATAGCAATCAAAAACATATTTGTACTGCTCGCTAAAGGTTTAAATTTTTGAGCCATTACAATTTCTAATTTTTTTTTCTATTTCAATATCAACGCATTTTTAGGTAAATATTTCAAATTATCGGTTAACGTAATTTTGGGTCTTCTGTCGCAAAACATTTCTCACAATATATAGACATTAACTGGCTATTACGACAATGTATTTCTACAATAATCTATGTTTTACAACACTACAAAAGAGTCAAATCTACTAACATACCTTAACGGGCTTTCTGAAGAATGAATCGATACAGTATTTGCAGTCTAAACGTTGGGTCACTAATGCATGTCAACCATGAAGAAGATAAGGCGGCTTCGTCTCAAGAGTACCACTGGCAGAGATTTCTCTGTTGCTCTTTTTGACGAGAATATTCCCTCACAGTAATCTAAAATTGGTCTAAAACTTTAAACTGGTTTGATAAAGACGAGTTGAAGAGTTAAATACCTGTGGACGTTTGAGTTTTCAGAGATTTTTGAGACATATGTTGGATGGTAAAGATAAAGATTTGCCAAGCAACATGAAAAAAGGCTTGTTTTGATCGTTACTGATTGTTAGTCATTTTTTTAACATTCTAATGAATTTACAATTGAAGTACGCTTGTTATTTTCAGACACCCTGCTATTAAGGACACTGCATAGATTTGTCCCTACTAATTAACACATTTATCACCTAATTTACATACACCACAGGACACCCATAATCAGATGTCCCTTCACATATTCATACTGAGGTACAGATAAGATATACTACAAGTTAATCAATTTGTACTATCTAGGAAAGACAAGAAAAGATAAAATACTAAATGAGATGAGTTTCTAGTGGCTTCTCTCCTGTGCTTCGAGGGATTATCTCCTCTGCAAAAATCAACAAAAAAAAAATCCATTTCGATTGACGTAAAATAATTCCCTATAAAATGACGCCTTTCATCTTCCTTTCTCTTTTTCTTTTCTTCCCTTTTCTAACCACTTTTTACTTTTTTATATTCAGTTTTTATTTACAAATATTAATACTTTCCAAATATATATTTTCTTCGATTTGGCATGCTACGTTATCGCGGCTATGTTGGTGCTATTTAACAAAATATTTCCTATTAGTATCCATTGTTAACCGCACCAAGACGTCCGCCATGTTTTTGACTTTTTAATCCCTTGGGAATGCTTAGCTTTGCAAGCCGTTAATATATATATATATATATATGTGTGTGTGTTAATGAGCTGACGATATAAGGTGTGCCATTTCATTAATAATTCATTAATAAACATAATAAAATGTCATTTTATCAAGATCAACATTAAGTAACATAGATGCAAATATTGATGTTAATCAGATAAGACCAGATACAATTGTTCCTGCCTCCTGTCATGGCTGCCATCACGTGATGGTGCAAAGTATCTTTTATTAAATTTCATCTCTAAGGGTGCCAGTGATTTATTTAACAAAGCAAAAGAAAAAAATCTATACTATAGAATGACACGTGGTCTAAAATGGGTAAAACATTACGCCAAGTAGAGTTGATCCATATACAAATGATTTGGCGCAAAGTGTTTCAGCATCGTATCTTGACAATATTTAATTCTTTTCCACACCTTAATCAACCAACTAATCTAAGCAAACTGCCCACTTTCTACTCAACAGTTCCTAATGGTTTGGGCTCAGTACACAGCTCAGTACACAACAAAAAGGTTGGTGAAGAATTTGTTGCATGTTGCTTACTAAGCTTGAAAATGTATTATATTGATATGTAAATAATGACAGCAAAGAAGAAAATATACCGCTTGACACGACGCTCATATTCAAATGCGGTATGTGCAACTACAGCTAATTTCAAAAAGGTTGGTGAAGGATTCGTTGAATGCTTACTAAGCATGAAAATGTTTTATATTGATATGTGAATAATGTCAGCCGCCATAGAAAATATGCCGTAAAAACGAGCAGACAAAGTTTGGTAAAATTGCAAGTTGTTTTGACCTTTCGCTGATTTCATTCACATTGCCCATGCTGGCTGAACAGCGACAAAACCTTTACCAACCCTTTTTTGAAATACCTGTATCTTTTATCGCTATTTTTAAATATAAAAGAATCAACAATATTTTCTACGAATAACATTTTTCTGTTCGAGGGAAACATTTCATCGTATGCAAAAGTCATAGCACAAATAACTTTGAATCTGTCATATATTAACGTTGCTCTTCGCATGCCGATTGAAAAACCCGCGTGGATTGTTCCAACAGGGTGAGATCTATTAGAGCCTTTTAACTGTAGATCATTGCGCTGGCAATTTAAAGCTGGTCGGTTGTTCTTGCTTCGTTTATGCGAAAGAACAACACTGCTGAAGAAACGATAATGCTCAATAAAAACAGCCAGCAGAAAAAGTTATCCAAAATGGACGCCGCCAACTGCCACTCATCTTTAGCTTTGGAATCTTCGTTTTCCTCCTTCTGCGCACGCGCAAGGATCTCTAAGTTTCTGGACATGATTTCTTGCTTGGCAAGGATTGCGTGAGCAATAACACTGCGGTCACAGGACGGTTCCGCCAACAAGTCGTCAAATCTATGCGTCGAGTACGGAGTTCCGCGCCTGTGCATTTCGTCATCAGTCTTTGAACTCATACTTAAGTTAGAGCCTTGATCTGTTGCATGTGGAAGTGGCTTCAAAGGGATATATCGCTTGTCTCGTCTTTGGTTCTTTTTACCGCACGAATCGCTTTGAAGCAACAAACTGTCTGTGATTCCATTTTCCATTTTGGAAGGTTTTTCGTTCTCTTTTGAGGAAGGTTTCTCAAGCGTCCCTTCGTCAGAGTCGTTGGGGACTTTACGGAAAAGTTTGCCCATGCATTGTATCACGATAAAATGAACCCATGGAGGCATTTTATGGACAGAAGTGCTGCAGAAATGATATTTTAGAACTACGCAAGTACCAAGAAGAGCGATGCCAACCTTGGGGGAAAAAAAGGAAAGATGGATGCGATATTCTCACCAACAAAAACAATGTACGTTTTTGGTACATGTCACGAGAGAGAGCATATGTAAGTTTGTGGATTTTGAGCAAGTTGGAACATATAAAAAAGATTGGAAAGTGTGATACATGCTTCAAAACAGACTCTGTTCGCAGAGAGTATGTAAAGTAAGTCTGTATAATTAGGCAAGATCGGCAAACAACATAAATGAAATTATGACGCACGCTTGAAAGCAGACTCTTTAAAGTACGTAAGCAAGTTCGAAACAACAAAATTGGGATGCATGCTTCAAAGATTTTCTAAGAATACAATGAACGCGTTCGTACAATATAAATAAAAACTGTGATACATGGTTGAAAACAGACGCTGTAAAGTACGTTAAAGCAAGTCTGTGGACTTTGAGCAAGTTCGAAACGACAAAATTGGGACGCATGCTTGAAAAATTGCCTAAGAATACTGCGAATGTATGGCTTGGCACGAGTTGTAGGATATGGGTATATATTACACCACGCAGGCATTCTTCCTACCTCAAAGATTGAGCACGAGTAAAATATGCTGATAATCGATACTTCGTCGGAAGTTGGAGGTAAGATTTCGGCGACGATCAACATGAAAACAGTCATCGCCAGTAGGTTTGTGATGACGACGGAAATTCGTTCGCCAGAATCAGGAGGAAGATAGAAAGACAAGGACGTCAACACTGAAGATAATATTAATGAGAAAGTTGGAATCAAGAAAAGCTGTTCTCATTTATATGGCCATCAAAATATTGCAGTTTTATTTAGCATTGATTATTTGATTTAAATGATCTTTTTTTTATTTTTATTCATTAGTGGATTGGATGAATTATTTAATTATTCGGTGATTCAGGGTTGACAACTCATTCATTTATCCACCCACCCACTCAGCCACCCAGCCACCCACTCAGCCACCCACCCACCCACTCAGCTAGTTAATTTAGTTTAATTTACAGTGGTTTTCATCAGCTCGTGAAATACACTTAAGCTTATTACATTATTATTACACTTATAGTACACTCAACAAAATTACTCGACTCTGATTGGTCAAGAGGAGTACAATTATAGCGTTAATTGTACTCCGTAGGAGTACCGAATTAAGTCGCTATGGCAACACGGCCAAAACAATGTCAAAACAATTATTTTCTATCATTTTGTACTTAAAAAACATATAAATAAAATTTTAAAGCCGTAAGAACTAATCTTTTTTTATACATTTCAGTTGCGCGATGGACTGAAAATCGGYCGCCAAATAGACAAAGATGAACAGCGTCGCTTTGCATTTTTTACTGAAATTTTGTTGAGTGAACTATAAACAAAAAATCGCACGATCTTCTCGTACAATTTRGAATTAATAGACACTCGTAATGTTTTGAAAGTTCTTTAATTGTACTCGCCTAAAGGCTCGTGCAATTACAAGAACTTTCGAA